CATCATTTACATGAAAACCCCTGCCAGCTCCTTACAGATGTTGGTCTAGCATGGCATGCTAAAATTTATAACTGGTTGTAACTACCGTACCCATCACTGTATTCAATGGTCAGTTGGTCATCATTGTCTACACGTAGGCTCTCACACTGGTACATTTTCGTCTATAAATCACTCCTTGGTCTGCTGCCTTCTTATATCTCCTCCCGCATGCATGTCACGTCGTCAGTGCAGTTACGGCGTGCGCTCTCAGGCCATCATTACCTGCAGCGTCCCCTCATTGTGAACTGAACTTGGCAAAAAGGGTTTTTCTTGCTCCACTCCTGTAACCTGTAACACATTGCACTTTAATTTCTTTAGAGGATTTTAAACATTTGATAAGGTCAATAGAAACATCAAAGCCAATATGTTCTTGTTAGTATTGTACCTTGTTATATATGGCATCTTGATTTATAGTTTCATAACACTACTTTTATTTTAATTGCATTTTATTGTAGTTCATTGTTGTCTGTACTTTACATGTTTTCTGTCTAAAACAGGTCTCTTGAAAATGAGTCACTCGATGTGACTAACCTATACAAATAAAGGTTGAACGAATGAATGAACTTTGACAACATCATACAGGTGTGTTTGGTTTTTGATGGAATGGCATGCAAAGAGCAAAATGATTTGTACATCTGGAAATTTGTATTTCTTTCAACAAGTTCAAACACTGAAGAGAGTTAGAGAAGAAAAACAGCCTTTTGTCACTTATTTAACTTGCAGAGTGTGGCGTCCTGAAGCTGATCTGTTTTTTTTTTTGTTGTTGTTGGTTTTCATTTACATAACAGAAACAGATAACTGTGACATTCTCCCATCAGGCCTGAACGCTGGAATGCATTGTCCCAAATTTTGGCATTCTTCAAATTGCTAAACAAGTCAGCTGGTGCCAAGAGCAATATGCAAATCTTATCTTAAAGACATCCTCAGCTGACATCTTTTAATAATAATAATAATAATGTCATCACAATGTCAGCACTGTATGTTTCCATACAATGGCGAAATTAGTCTCTGCATTTAACCCATCCACCACCAGGTGGTGCAGTGGGCAGCTATTGAAAGCGCCCGGGGGGGCATTTTGGGGATGAGGTGTGCTGCCCAGAGACGCCACGTGATGTGCAGTGACTGGGGATCGAACCTGGGACTTTCGGGTCCCAAGCCGGCTGCCCTCCCTCTACACCATCTCGGCCCCCATCTTTTCCATATAATCGTTAGTTTCTGTTCTAACTATGAATCCTCATCTGTGTTGTTGAGTTTTAAAGCCCACGAGCAGCAAACATTCAGGACGCTTCAGGTGACGGACTGCTGTGATTAAGAATGGGTTGTTTCAGCTTTAGACAATAACTTTAGCTGAAGGGTTTTTAGTTCATTGTTGTTTTTTTGCAGGAATTCCTACATAGAAAAATGTTAAAAGACTAACATTCCTCGACGGAATGCTTATCGCACATTTCATACCAGAGTTTCTGTGTTTTGCTCAAACCTTGTGCTCCATCTCATGCGATTTTGTGAGATCTGTTAGAGTTCAGAGAATGCGTTGAATGTCATTAAAAACTGTCCAATGATTCATGAGATGTTTAAATAACAGACAGGCACCGACACAGCTGATGCCAAAAGATATTGCCAACGTTTAAATGTTCATGCTCATATGCTCACATGCTCACAGTATGTGATGGAGACTATGCTCAGCTACTTCCACACCCAATATTTGTAAAATTGACTGAGTTATAGCCAATTTTGTGTTTCCCAAAGTCAGTTCAGTTCAATTCAATTCAAAAATACTTTATTAATCCCAAAGGGAAATCAAGTGTTGTCGTAGCTCATCATCCTGGTTTCATTCAAGAGTTCTTATAGATTCTGATAGCTGTGGGCAGGAAGGATCTCCTGCAGCAAATCTGAAGAATCTGGTCACAGATAATGATCCATCCACCTGGATCCAGCTTGCTGTCAGATCCGGCGGGTCTCTCGGTCCTCCTGGGCAGCAGGACTGCCCAAAAGCTTCTCGTCGGCACGGACAGACAGCTGAAGGTGCTTGGGTGTAATCGCGGTCCTCCCGTTGTCATTAACCAAGTTTCCCCAACAGCTTCATGGTGTTGGAGGTCTGGTACTCAACTACCGCTGCCAGGTTGATGGGAATTCATCCACGGCACCTCTTTATCAACACATTAGGGATTTGGAGCTTAGTTGAGGTATTTGAGCTTTTGAGATGTTAATCAGCTGCTCCTGGTTGTTAAAAAACACATTGTTGCCATGGTTACGCATCATAATAAACGCCCCCAAAATAAAAATGTTTCAGTAAAAATCCTTCTAGATGCACAGCATCTGATACCAGAGAAAATATTCATCTGAAAAAAAGGGATTTACATCCAGAAAAAAAGAGGAATTAAAGTTTTCAAAAGCAATAAGAGCTACTCCAACATGCAGCCACTCCAAGCGGCGCAATTCTACAACATTAGGCATAGAAAATTCAACATAGTTGATGGTGGCACCAACATGAATTGGGTTAAATTCAAATTTAAACCAGTTTTAGATGTCTGTCCAAAAATTACATTTGAAAATAATTACTTGAAATCCATTTAGGGATATCACTAAACAGGCAAAAACATTATTGCTCCTCCTTCACCTTCAGTGGTGATAACCAAATAGTCTGAAATCGAAACGCCCACGCCAGCAGATCTTTTTCAGTTTCAGCTCGGCAGCTGTGTGTGTGGCTGTTTTAGTCTTTTCTGTGGTAGGACAGGAAATCACGCTCTTCTAAAAGAGCAGCTACGTCAAAAGCTGATGTGGTTTCCTTCCACCAACCACAAGAACACAAGACAGAGGTCAGGTTACACTGAAAGAGCAGAGGAGACATTTTATCTGCAAATTTCTGGGTAAATCTGCTGTGTGGTTCACACTAAAATGGAAAAAACAGCTGCTGTGAAACATAAAGAACATCACAAATAATGATTCAAGCGCCATCTTATAATACAGATTTTATTGATCCGTATTTTCCTAACAGAGTACTCTCAGACTGCAGGTTTACTTGTGCTTCCTAGAGTTTCTAAAAGCAGAATGGGATGAAGATCTTCCAGTTATCAGGCTCCTCTTTTGTGGAAGCAACATCCAGTTTCTGTCCATGAGGCTGACACATTGTCCAGTTTTAAGATTAGGCTTATAGTTAGGGTTGCCTTGGGTTTCGTGAGATACTCCTTAATTATGCTGCTATCGGCTTAAACTGCTGGAGGACAAATTGACCACGTGTCCTCACTCTGCCGTTGTCTTTTCTTGCTCTACCTGTTTGTATTTGTTATTTCTAGCTTAACATGGTTTTTGTCTTTCTTCCTATAGAAAGTATCTGGACCTGTCATTCTGTCTGTTTCTCCAGTCACATCGGTGTCGTATCTGAGAACCTGATCTAAACAGCTCATAGAACAGCAGGCTCCAGGAGTCTAGTTGTTCAATGTGGGTGGGGGGGTGTTGTCGAACAAGAAAACCTTTTCAGAAACCCTGTCCAGTTTGAAAACAGCCTCACGGTTATTAGATGCAGGTCCTGAGGGAGAGAAGCTTTTTCCTCCTCGTCAACAATGCTGACACTGACCTGTTTTTGTTGGTACGTCTGGATCGTCTAAACTTAAACTGCTGGGAAACTCCCAGATGCTTTTAAAGAGTTATGTCATGCAAGCAGGCGCTCGGCCTGTGGTTCATAAAGGGGAGGGAAACGCCGAGCAGGGGCTTTCAAGAAGGTCTGCGGACATGGATTTAATTTGAAAAACCATTGTCAAGAGCATACGTAGCCCTAAATGTTACCAAGAAATTAGAATCCATCCATTATCTTTCATAATATAACACTTGGCAACACGGTGCGTTGGTAAGGTTTCTGTGGAGAATTGTCCTGTAGACTGGAATCCCAAAAGTTTTTAAAGCCGTCTTTCCCACTGAGCAGTCCCTTTAACAAAAGTCTGTAAACTTCTACAGGATCTGACACCAAATGGAGATGATGGAATGTTGCCCCGTTCATTCATGCACATGTTCAAACACCTGTATTTACCGTTTCGTAGCATGGTGCCCATGCCAGCAGTACTCATGCAGTGTCCATTTTAAAAGAGCTTTGATCCAGAGATGGCAGCTTTTTCTGACGTGCACATTTTCTTTCCATGACCGAGCTTTAACAAGCATCAGTGGATGACACGGCAACTTGTGTTTATGACTTAACGTGTTGCCGAGATCACACATCAATGTCCAGAACAGAATCAGGCCCGTTTTTAATGCAGGGCCCCCACAAGTCTTGAAGACCACTAACAGTCAAGTCCTGACTTTCTGCCTTGTCCTGTGTGTAAAGACCTGCAGATTATTGAAGTCTTTAGATTTGAACTAGGCTCAAATTGTGGGTTTGAGCATTCTGTATACTTTACACATTGAATCTCTTTGGATGTGCTCATCTTTGCTACAGAAATTATCTGAAACTGATAGACCATGAGACTTTAAGGACAGCTGTGTTGCTTTGATCAAACACCCTATACTTCAAACTTGTAAATATTAAACCATTTGCCTTAGAGATTCCTGAAGTCATCTGGTTAAAATCCAACCATTACCCTGATCTGAACACATTACATTTATTTTTAATTTGGTGAAAAGTCATCCAGGACATGATGGTAGAGTTTGAAACCTGAAGAAAATGGCTTTTTTTAAGTTGGTTTCCTCATCCAATGTTAAGTTACATCATACTTTTGACAAAACATGCAATTTGTTTGGTTAACCTTCAATCTTCAGAGCACTAGAGAAAACGGTTTTTAAACCCAGACAGAAACAAATGAGTTAGCAGGTCTTCCCCATTTAGTCATTTCAGATTCCAAAAATAAATAAAAAGCATGAAATTTTGTAGCCATGACAGTGAAAGACCACGCTAAAGTTAAACCATCTCACCCAGTATAAAGCCCACCTGGCACCACCACCCCACTCTTGCAGACACTACACAAGACACAATATGCAATGCAAAAAATATTTTAATTGCCGTCATTAGAGTACAAGAAGAGCAAGCAAAAATTAGAAGAATCGTTTTTACAGGCGGACACAACTCTGAAGCAAACTACACAAATAAATAGTGTAATAAATCATGGACGGGTCCCCAATCCCCTTTAAAAAATAAAAAAAAAACGTTAAATACTGGACTCACCCACATTTTATTAACAGTGAGTGAAAAGATTTATTGGCAGTCTTAAATTCTGTTTAAACTTGTGCCAGTAGAAGTCAAGCTCCATCTACCACGTGTCAATGCAGCACTGACAGAGGTACAGACCTGCTGTAATGAGATTTTTATTATACAGAAACCAGTTTGTAAGGGTTCTTTACAACTAAAACTTTTATGTATTTACACATTGGCTTTTATGTGTATTTACAGTATATATTTTAAACTCCTTGGGCGGAGCCGCTGAATTCAGACGCTGATAAGTTGGGGAAACAGTTCAGTAGCAAACATGTCTTCCCAGGAGCTCTCGGAGCACATGTCGCTGAAAGGGGAAGGAGACCTTTCATATCCAGAGTCGCTGTAGGTGTCCGTCAAGAGGGTTTCCTTCTCCAGGTGGCTGAAGGCGGGGGAGGAGGCGCCAGAGAAGAAGTCATCCACCTGACTGTGGTCGTTACAGGTGGGGATGACCACTTCCTCTGGCTCGTCTTTGACGCAGACCGGCTCCTCCCCGACAACCACCTCGTTGACTTCAGTGAAGGAAGCCTCCTCGATCTTCTCGTCCGTGTCGCTCTCCATGTCGCTCACTTCCTCTACGGGCTTGGTGTAGATGTGGTCGAAGTGGATCAGTTCATTAAGGGTCTCCAGCTTAACTGATGGGGACCCCACAGGCGCAGGTGGGGCGGCAGGTACTGGGTTCCCCCCTCCAACCAGCAGCACCTGCGGCTCCTTGCACACCTGTTCACAAGACTTGAGGAACAGCTCTGGGTTAAAGATGTCCAGAATGCCCAGTAGCAAATCAGACTGGTGAGAACAGAAAGGAGAAACTGGATTAGCCCGAGAACCTGACGAGGATTATTATTTTTAAGAGCTTAATCTTGACGACTTACCTCATTGTCTGTAGAGTCAGGACAATCTGTAGCCATTGTGAAGTTTTCAGATTTAGGGAGTGCTGGGCCTGCACCTGCTGCGGAGGCACACGTAGCCTGAGTACTGCAGACTCAGAAGACCCGATCCCTAAACCTGCGTCGTTCCCGTTGGACAACAGAGCCTGAATCTTTGGATAAAAAAAAAAACAAAAAACACGTGAATGAATTAAGGGTGCAAATCAGTAAACTTCAATCATTGAAGTCAAAAATCACCTTTGTTTTTAAGTCAAGGGTGTCCAACCCAAGTCTCTGTCTCATCTCCTCGTTTTCTGTCTGTAGACCACTCGTCTTCTCTCGAAGCAGTCTGTTCTCGATGTGAAGTTTCTGATTCTGTGGGAGGAAGCGAGTTTAGGAAACTGGTTTTGGGGGGGGGGGGGGACAAATGAAAATTGAACGCTTGGGAGAGAAAAGGCGACCGCAGAAATGAAACTTTAAGGGTTTTATTTTATAACAAAACGTAGCACAGGATAGACACTCTGAAGGGGGGAGGGGGGGCTTGTACTCCAACTTGCACAGTTGTAGATTAAAATGAAATACCTCCAGCTCCAACTCTATGACTTGCTGTTCCAGTTCTCCCATTTTGGCCTTTTTTCTGTCTCTGGCTGTTTGAGCTGCCACTCTGTTCTTCAGTTTCCTGGTGGAAATAAAAGGTGACATGGGGGGGTAGATGAGGAGGAGGGGAGGAAAAGGGGATTAAGACATGTCCATGATGCGGGAGACATTTCCATGATGCGGGAGAGTAAGAGTCCTGCGGGATCAGCCGCCATGTTGCTGCCACGCGCACACATCCTGATCAGCCAAATCACCAAGAGCAGCTTTAAGAACTCGGTCAAAGTGCAGACATTAGAGAGGATGGTTAACTGCACTGAAAAGGAGTATTAAAATATGTGAACTGGCCTTTAAATACTTTATTTATTTAAGGGGTTAATTTTAGTGCGGGGGCCCAACCCCTGGGCGTGTTTCGTTTAAATACCAGGAACAACTGCGTCATTTACGCTCCGTGTAATTAAAAGGAACGAAGGGCGGTATTTAAGTTTTATTTTACTCAAACCAACCTGCGAAGGGCCTTCTCCTCCGGGCTTAAATGTGTGAGTCGCTGCCTCTTCCGCAGCGGCGGCCCAACGGACGTGTTGGAGTCCGAGTCCGACGACACCTGGCTGGCCGGTAAAACGACCGAGATCGGCCGGCTGAAGGCCGCCATCTGTGAGCCGCCGGAGGAGCCGTTCTGCTTCCCGGATATGAGGAGCACTTTGTGGGCTCCGCCGGTCCCCGCCGCTACCACCACCATGTTGGAATAGTCCGTCGTTACGTTGTGAAATAAATAAATTTAGTAGAAACCAGCTGGTCCCCGTGTTGCCCCGACGCCTCCTTCTCAACTGCTTGACGGAGTGGGCAGCAACCGCTATCTTTTCTATATCGTGGTGGAGCCTGATTGGCTGTCGTGCGCTGTGACGCAATCAGTTAGCGAGCTCTGATTGGTCGAAGAAATGATGCAACTTTGCATATAAGAAACGGCCTCTGTTAAGTTGAGTTGCTGGACTTGGACTTTTGGTTTCATCGGTCATTTTAAGGGTCAACAAATTTTGTTTTGTTTTATGTTTATGCTGGTCATTTTGTGGTATTTACAAGTATATTTTCTAGTAAAGGCTGTCTGTAAAAGACACTTAAAGATTATTGCAAAGGCTAAAAGCTATATGTTTAAAATTAGGTTACAGTATGTTAAATTTACATCTTCTTCTTTCAGATTCCCCCTCTTCAGTGTTCACCACAGCGAGTCATCCCCCATCTCACTCGCTCCTCTGCATCCTCTGTCCTCACTTCAACTACCTCCATGTCTCTAACTGCATCCATGTCTCCTCTTTGAGTTTTTCCAGGCAAGCTGCATTTCTAACATCCTTCTACCAGTATACCCACCGTCCCTCCTCTGAACATGTCCAAACCATCTTCTCTAACTTTATCTCCCAGTTGTTCAACCTGTCCTTGTCACTCCTAAGGAGAACCCCCACATCTTCATTTCTGCCACTTCCAGTTCTTTCTCGTGTCTTTTTGTCCATGTCTCTGTCTCCATATATCATCTCTCCACTGACTTGTAAACTTTTTCTTTGACCTTTGCTGCCACCCTTTTGTCATAAATCACTCCGGAAACTTTTCTCCATCCACTCCATCCTGCCTGGACTCTCTTCCTCTCCTCTGTGCTTAAAAAAAGAAAGTCTTTTCACCTGGTTTAACCCCCTTCTAAATTCTTTGCTCTCTACTTCTTGTCTGACAGAATAACTTCCTCGTGTTTTCTTATTTGAAGAAGGAAATTCAAAGCAACAGAACAAGCTTTACAACCCTTCCTGACCTTCCCTGAACTAATAATTTTCCTCTTCCTGTAAGAGACCTTAACATTTATTGACTGGCAAATTGTAACTGCATTTTATCGTGGCGTTTTTTTTTTATTATTATTTTATTTCCAAATTGTTCATTCACCTTATTGTAGTGTGGTGCGTGCAGTGTTGTTGTTTTCATGATGAAAAAGTCACAGTTTTATTTACGACAGCACAATCAAATTGCAAAATTCGATCGCTAAAAATAAATTTAAAAGATCGTTTAACGTAGGTCTTTAGTTAAAAATAAATACATTTTGACTGAAGATCTAATTGCTTGCAGGAATGCATGTCGCCCAACATTTTTCCATGCTAGAGTTTGAAACTAAAATCATCTCCTGATGAGAAAGGACAAGAGTTGTAGCTGTTTTGGTCAAATCTAGTAAACCACTTTGTACTCGATCACATGAGATATTGCATGATCTATAACAGCTAAAATTAAGAGTTAAGGATAACTCTCAGCTACTACCACAACAAATTTCACCCAAATATCTGTTCAATCATCTGAGCTTTTAGCTTTTTTTGTGTTTGCTTTGGTTGCAGCCATTCTGAATGTGACTGACTCTAAAAAGTAATTACCTTATTTTTCAGCCTATAACTTACAGTTTTTGCATAATTTGTATGCCCTGCAACTTTTACACAGTAGCAATGTATTTATGGAGTTTTCTCATATTTATAAACCAATTTTTGGCTGAGATATGACGTTCTCATTTATTCTGACTGAAAATATTGAACACTACCATTTTCAGCCGCTAGATGGCACTCGAGTGGTATGACATGACATTGTGTTATGTAATAGATAAAAGTGGCTATTAATGACACAATCGGCTTGCCATAGAACGCCACCGCCAACTGCCTGGAACAATCGTCAAATCAGCGTCATTTCGCTGCGCCGCCTCAGCGAAATGACGCTGATTTGACCACTGGAGTGCGTTTATTAAGTAAAAGTTCAACTGACATACCTTTACTATAAAGTCGAGCTAACAATTTATTGTTTTTAGGTGATTATCTTATTAAATTTCGAAGAAATGGACAGCGAGTTGCCCTCTGCGCGTTTGTGTTTCCGTGTATCAGCTTTTGAAATGCAGCAGATCTGACCGTCAAAGTGCATTTATTAAGGAAAAGTTCAACTGAGACGCACCTTTGCTGTAATTTCGAGCAAACAAATAATTGTTTTAATTGTTAATCTTGTTGAATTCTTGTTAAAATCCTCTCGTGCACGCTCCCGCAGCCAACATTTGGCAGCCAATCGATTTTTGACACAACACCGGCCCGCATCTCCGGGTTGTCGGAGGTGACGCGTAACAAAGGCGACGCATCAGCGGTGACACATAATAGATGCGACGTATACGGCGAAGCAACGTATTTATGGATTTTTCCACTTTATTACACAAATATGGACTGACGCGACTTATAGGGCGGTGCAACATGTACGGCGGAAAATACGGTCAATTTCTCAATGGGCCACAGTTACCGAACGCCAAGAGCTCAGGGACTGGACATCCAGCAGTTATTGTCATTAAGTTTGTTTTATGGTTTAAAATCTAGTTTTATTTAAAAATAAACTCAATGGTGGGACGAACTGAGTTCACCTCTAGGCCTGATTTGGCCCCTGGACCACCAGTTGAATAGCCCTGTAATTTTTCCTTCAACCTTTATTTATACAGGTTAGTCTCATTGAACCTCAAGGACTCATTTAAAAGAGAGACCTGTAAATAAAGACCTGTAATAAAGGCTAATCCTGAAATCGTGTTTGTTTCTTTTAAAAAGTCTAAGACACGACGCTTAAAAGTTTTTGTTATTTCAGCGTGATACAACAAATCCAGCAGATGCGGGTGAATGCAAACGATGACAACTCATACCATCAGTAAAGTTTGACAAGTGCTGCTCAGTTCACCTCATACTGAAAGGAGAACCTGCAGTAAAAGCTTCGATCTGATAAGAGAGAGCAAAGTCTACAACCTTTAACAACTTCTCAGCGTGTTCTTGCATTGTGTCAACAGCGAGCTCTGCGACGCCACAAAAAGCCTCCCTGAAGCAAACAAGTGTGAGACTGTGCCGACGAAAAACTTTCAGCAACACTCCTGTTTGCCGTCAGACAGGAGTTCATGTTTGCAGCATCTTTGTGCACAGCTTGTGGCACCGCAGTCTGTTTCCAAGGCAGCTGTAACTGCAGCAGCCGGAGCAAACAGCAGCTTGTTTGCAAAACCTTCCTGGTACCAGAGTCAACACTGGTTTATAAGGAACTGTATAACTTTACAGAAGGAGAGCAGGATTTCAAACAGGATGTGGTTCAGGTCAGAGCCAACAGGGAAATGTGCACCATCGACTTCCTCATATCCAGTTTCTTCATGTCACCGAGGTGCAGATGAAGTTGTAAACGTTCATTCTGAAATCACACGGAACACAAAGTTTGTTTCTGCTGCTTAGGGACGACCCAGCATGAGATAAGTGGCACAGTTTGACTTCAGGGAAGTTCTCTGCTATATTTATGTGTTGCTGTGAAGTTCTGTTGAACCAGGACAGAAGTGTGACGCGAGAAAACCAGAGTCACCGTGTTTTCTGTAAATATGCAGCGTGAACACCGAGAGCTCGGTGAGTTTGTTGAAACTTGTCGAGGAAGCTGAAACTGAAGTTTTAAAGTTCAACTCATCAGAACGACGGCTAAATAGCACGTTAAAAGCTAAAACCAATAGTTATCAATATAGCAGTTCAATCCTAAAACCAGCCAAACAGTAGCTAAAAACTAAAATAAGCAAAAATTTAGCTAAAAGCTAAATGAAAAAAAAGCTAAAATATATAACCTGCTAAAGCTAAAATTAGTAAAACAGTTGTTAAAGGGTAAAACAAATGGAAATAGTGACTAAAAGTTAGTTCAAGAAAACAGTATATGAACAATAAAATTAGCTATTTGGTAGCTAAAACCTAAAATTCACAATTATTACATAACATATCAAATTGACAAAGCAGTAGCTAAAAGCTAGATTAGGAGAAAAGTAGCTAAAAGCTAAAACTAGCAAACGTTATAATTAGCGCAGTTGGTAGCGCTGTCAACCCTCATCGAGAAGGTTGCTGGATCGAATTCCGGCCAGAGACCTTTCTTGGAGCTTGCATGTTTTGTCCGTGCATGCATGGGTTTTCTCCGGGTACTCCGGTTTTTGTCCCTAGGTGAGAGTAAGAGATTGAATGGTTGTTTGTCTCGTTTGTCTCTATGTGTCCCTGTGATGGACTGGAGACCTGTCCAAGGTGTCCCCTGCCTCTCGCACGGCAATGGCTGGATATGGGCACCGTTGACCCCCGCGACCCGAATAGAAAGAAGCAGATAAAGATAATGGATGGATTACTTAAAAGCTTGTAAGGAAGCAAGTACTGTATACTGAAACAGATTTCAAAGAGCACTTTTCAAGTTCATGTCAACTTTATTGTCGTTTCCATCACGTGGTACATGAGGTGGAATGAAATTATGAATTTTCTTGTTTTTTTCTTACAGTGATTATCCTGATTATATATGCATGAGTCTAACAGCTTCAGGGTAAAAGCTAGTGGTTCTACACTTAATGCTCCAACCTTCTGCCTGAGGGGAGTGGGGCAAAAAGTGTGTGTGCTGGGTGAGTGGGGTCCTTCATGATTCCACCGCCTGCCTGTAGCTGGACTCATCGTTGTTTGTGATGCATCCCACCACCGCTGTATCAGCTACAAACTTTATAATATGACAACCTGGATGAGTAGGTGCACAGTCATAGTGAGCAGAGTGAACAGGAGGGGGCTCAACACACAGCCCTGAGGGGAGCCAGTGCTGAGGGTTCTGATGGATGAGGAGAAGTTGTGGATCCTCACTGACTGCGGTCTGTTGGTAAAGAAGTCTAGGACCCAGTTACATATGGAGGGGCTTAGTCCTAGTGTGAGTAGTTTGTCCATCAGGGTCTGGGGGATCATGGTGTTGAAGGCAGATGAGAAGTCCACAAAGAACAAACGGACGTAAGAGTTCTTCTGCTCCAGGTGGGTGAGAGCAGTGTGGACCACAGAGGA